TGGACCAGCAAACCTGGTCCCCACCTTCTTTTTTTTTTGCCTCCAAATGATTTTGAGTTTTGTACCACATTGTTCTCCCTCTTTATGCAGGATCTCCTACATCTAGAAAGGGCTGTTTTAATCTGAGAGGTCTGTCAATATGGGCTGACCCTTTGGGGTGCAGCCCTGCTCTCTGACTGAAGGATCCGCCAAGGCCTCGGCATATGGCTCCTCATTACAAAGGGCTGCCTTGGCTCTGGAACACACGCATAAGCATGCGTTTCCAGATTCAACATCCAGGGAATATGCACCTGTGTTTCTGATTGTCTGGGAGGGTAAGGAGTCTTTGATCCATCGCAGATGCCTCTGATATATGCCTTTAGCTCTGGGGGGTTGTATGTGCTTTATCCCCTGTTTTGTCTGCAGTGTTGTTTTGTGTCTCTAGTCCACTGGCTGAGCTGTGCTGTATGTGGTCTGTTTTGCATTTTTGCAGTTGCACTTTAGGAGAGTGAGGCTGACTGTTTTGGTTATTTGACAAGGAGCTAACACAAGAGATAGGCTTCCTCTTATGTTATGCTTTCTTTGAGCTCCTTAGTTCTATGAGAGGAGGGGCAGAATTTGAGCTAGATAAAAGAATATAGCACAAATTATTTTCCTTATTGCTTTATTTTCATTCATTTGTGTATCACGGAAATATTAATTGAGCACTTAATGTTTGGGGGACCTAGACCTTGGGGAAAGTGTAAGGCACATTAAAGTAAACATTACTGCTCATGGATTTATTATTCTAGCAGAGGAGATAGACAAATCAATATATACCCCATAATGTTAGGCAGAAGTTGAAACTATGAGTAAAATAAGTCTTTATAAAGACTGGAGGAAGTCTACTTGTAACAGGAGGTGTGATTTTTGGAGACCAGAACTAGATATGGGAGTAAGATTTGCCATCATGAAGGCAGACCAATTCAGGGGCAAGGTAAGACTAGCTGACATTTTGAAGAAACAGAAAGGAGGCCAGTGAGACTGGAACAGAGTGAGGAAGGTAGAGAGCTATGGGAAATGAAGTGGGGAACAGATCATCCAGGGCTATGTAAAACATGGAAGGAACTTGGGATTTTATTCCCAATGAAATGGGAAGCCACAGATGGGTTTGCAAGGGAATGATAGTACATGATTTACATTTTTAGAAGACCACTCTGGTCACTTTGGAGAGAATATGGAGTAAGAGAAGCCAGAATGCCATTGTAATTTTCCAGGCAGAAGTTGATGGAAGCTTTGACCATGACAGTACTTGTGTAAATGGTGGGAAATGTTGGATTTGGGATCTATTTTGAAGGTAGAGCACAGAGATGGAGAAAACAAGGGGAAGAGTTGCTGTGGCAGAGGGTAGCAGACATGCCAAGACCCTACTTTTGGCATGTTGAATGTGACAGGATTCTTATAAATGCAAGTGGAGATGTCCAGTAGAAATGCTAGATATTAAAAAAAAAAAATATTTGAACAAGGAGAGATGGATTGAATATTACTAAGTTGAGTAAGAAGATTCAGAATTAACATTTGGCATCTTAGAGGTTGTGGTGACCTTGATAAGGGTGGTTTTATTGGTGTAATATGAAAGAGTATAAATGAAAATAGGTTCCAGAGAGAATGAGAGGTGAAAAGTGGAGACAACATATATCCTTTTTTTTTTTTTGACAAAAGACAGCAGTGAAATGGAGAGATTCATTGAGGGAGATGTTCCCACCCACTGCTGTTGAGTTGGAGCCGACTCATAGGGACCCTCCTTGGGTTTCTGAGGTGGTATCTCTACAAAAATAGATTGCTGAACCTTCCTTCTGAGGAGTGGCTGGTGGGTTTGAACTGCCAGCCTTCTGGTTATCAGTCAAATACTTTAGGCACTATACCACCAGAGCTCCCGAGGGAGATGTTAGAGGATGCTTATTACACATGTGAGCCAGAAGTGGGGAAATTTGTGGGAGATAAACGGAGAAGTAAAGTGCTGGAGTAGGTGGGAGAGAATGGAATCTGGGGTTCAAGTGAACAGATTGGGCTCAGATAGAAGCAGAGATATTTTACCCATAGTAATAGGAAAAAAGCTGAAGCATATGGTAGACATAAAGGTAGGTAGGTGGATGTGTAGGTGAGAGAATGAGGAAGATCCCTTCTTATGACTTGAATTATCTCTGTTAAATATGATGCAAGGCCATTAGATGAGAGGCCCTAGGGTAGAGGAAGTTTTGAAGGTTTGAGAATAGCAAAGTGCATATACTAATCTGACAATATTAGATGCTCTACAAATACTTTTTTTTTTTTTTCCCCTGAAATGAGATCACTTCATGGGTTTTAAGCAGAGAGAGAAAATGAGAGGAAAGAGCAGAAAACAGGCAGGTGGAAGAGGAGTTAAGGTGACCATTAGAGAGAGATTTGTATAGACTATGAAATGACATATTTAGAATGGACATTCTGTCTTCCCTCTGTTCATGAAAGTCAATCCTGGGCAAGAATGTGTCTAAAGGTAAATTACTGGGTCAACTGGGTGATATAAATACCAATTTCAACTGGTTATATCTTGATCACATTTTTTTCCCAAATTATCTCCATCTTGGCCTTGGAGGACATCTATATTCATAAAGAAACGGATTAAGATGTAAATAGTGGCCCTTGAAGGAGCCACAGATGGACTTCCAGAGAGGGTAGGAATGCCCATAGAAAAATTCCTTCCTTGTGTGGATTTTCCTCCACCAGTCCCCAGAGGCAAGTTTGCCTGGAATTCTGCAACACATGGAAGGATGTTGCTTACCGAGAATGATGACAATGCTATACTTGATGGCTTTGATTCTTGCCTTTGAAATGAGCCCCCGGTTATAGCTGGTGCACAGTTTTCCATCTGAAGATACAAAAGGGAAACGACAAAATGAAATGCTTGGGATGTCACAGTTTCTGTTTCTGTCAATGGAAACATCAAATGTTAGGCCCAGAGCTGTCATAGGGATGTTGCTGTTCAGCTGTTGTTGAATTGGCCCCTTACACACGGTTACTCCCTGCACACTGGAATGAAATGCTGCTCAATCCTGTGCCGTCCCCATGACTGGTCGTGGCTCAGACCATTGTGATCCACAGGACTTTTGCTGGCTGATTTTTGGACGTAGATCACTAGGTTTTTCTTCCTAGTCCATCTTGTTCTGGAAGTTGCCCTGAACCTGTTTAGTATCATAGCAACATATAAGCCCCCATGGACAGATGAGTGATGGCTGCACAGGAGGTGCAGAGGTCAGAAGTTGAATCTGGACCTTCTTCACGGAAAGCAGGAATTCTACCAGTGAACCACCAATTTCCTGCTACCTATTGTCCAGAGTCACTCAAACCAGAGGTATCAAAAAAGGAAAAAAAGGGAAAAAAAAATTCCCAAATTGGAGCTGGGATTAGCTTTACTCAGAGTCCCTGGGAGGTGCAAACCATTAATGCACTCAAAGGTGCCTGAGAAGAAAGGACTGCCAATCTACTTCTGAAAAATCAACTATTAAAAACCCTGTGGAGAACAATTCTACTGACACACATAGGGTCACTGGAAGAATTGACTTGACCACAACTGATTAATAGCTTTAATCATATGTGGGCTGTTATCTCATGGTTAGCAGCTGAGCACTTAATCATTGTATCACCAGGGCTCCTGGTCTGAAGTTTACATTTGTGCTGTTTACTCAATCCAATCTCTAGTCCTATTCAGCACAATCCAGTAAGCATAGAATATTCAATAGGTGCTGTTGTTGTTGTTGTTGTTGTTGTTATGTGCCGTTGAGTCGGATCCGACTCATAGCGACCCCTCCTTGGGTTTCCGAGGCAGTATCACTACGGAAGTAGATGGCCCCATCTTCCTTCCGAGGAGTGGCTAGGGACCAAGTAAAATGCCTCAGATAGTTCTTGTTCCCCAGGAACTTACAATATATCAGGAAAGATCACACCCTCTCCACAAGGTAGGGTGAGAGAGGAGAGACATTGTCTGTGGAACAGAAAAGAAGGCAGTCACTTGACCACAGCCTAGTGGGAAAAGCAGTAGGCACCAATTAAAGTTTTAATGATGAGCAGGATCCCAGAAGGCACGGATGGGGACGTGGGTGTGGGTTTGTGAAAGGCTTTGTAAGCAGACAGAATGTCATCAGCTAAGATATGGAAATAAGCAAACAGAGGATGTGTTTGGTTCACAGTGAGTTATCTTGCGTGGCTGTTGTCTAAAAGTGTGTGGGTTTGAGGGTGGGGAGAATGAGATCAAATTGGGAAGCCCTTGAGCAGAATTTCTGAGTCAGCATCAGCCCCCGGAAGTTGTGGGCATTTTTTCAGTGTGAATATTTATTTACTTACTGGAAAGGACAAATGGTTATGAGCAATAACCTGAATAAGGACCTTTTACACGTGAAAAACAGAAATGCTAATTGTAATTGGTTCATATTTCTTAAATTGTATCCTGTAAAATCACTCTTAGGCATTCTTACTGTTGTTGTTACGTGCCATCGAGTCGGCCCGACTCATAGCGACCCCTCCTTGAGTTTCTGAGGCAGTATCCCTACAGATAGTAGATTGTCCCATCTTCCTTCCGAGGAGTGGCTGGTGGGTTTGAACCGCCAGCCTTCTAGTTAGCAGTCAAGTGCCTTAGGCACTACACTACCAGAGCTCTTTAGGCATTCTTGTTGTTGTTGTTGTTGTTAGGGAGCTCTGGTAGCATAGTGGCTAAGGCACTTGACTGCTCACCAGATGGCTGGCGGTTCAAACCCATCAGCCACTCCTCGGAAGGAAGGTTTAGGCATTCTTAGAGCCTTCAAATTATAGAGCCTTCAAATTATACTGTGCATTTCACAGAACCACAAAAACTTGGTGATGTCCATGTAAAGTTCAACTATTGGTCTTTCCCCATCTGGAATGAAGAAGAGTGAAGAAAATCAGAGAGTCAAGGACACCAATGGTCTAAAGGACTAATGGGTCATATGAACCCCAGCCTCCACTATGCTGAGACCGGAAGAACTAGATGGTGCCTGGCTACCACTTCTGACTATTCCGAAAGGGATCACAATAGGAAGTCCTGAATAGAGTGGGAGAAAAATGTGGAACAAAAATCAAAATAATAAAAAAGACCAGGCTTACTGTCTAATAAAGACTAGTGGAACCCTGGAGCCTATTGCGCTTAGACACACTTCAGGACTGGAACTGAACTCACCTTTGGCTCAACTTTCAGTCAAACCATAAACAAGCTTATAAAGTGAATAGTAACACCAGGGAGGAATGTACTTCTGAGCATAATCAACCATATGAGATCAAAAGGGCAGCATTTGCCCAGAGATAAAGCTCAGGAGGCAGGAAGGGATAGGAAAGAAGCATGAATGGAAACAGAAAGCACAAGAAGGAAGTGGGAAGAATGCTGTTACATTGTGGGGATTTCACTCGATGTCCCAAAATAAAATGTGTATGAATTGTTAACTGGAAGACCAATTTTCTCTGTAACCCTTCATCCACATCACAATAAGAAGTTAAAAACAAAACAAAACTCAGTGTTGGAAGGAAGCACATACATCTGAAACATTTATAACAGCCTTTCTCACCAGGGCATGATTTTGCACTCCAAGAGTTTTTTTTTTTTTTTTTTCTTTTTAGCAATGTCTGGAAACATTTTTGGTTTTCACAACTGGGTGTGGGGTAGTTATGGGTGTCCAAGGGATTCTGCTAAACACCCTTCAATGCACAGGACAACCTCCTCCCTCCCACACACAGTCAAGAATTATCTAGTCAAAATGTTAATAGCATCCATGTTGAGAAACCCTGATTTCCAGGCTACAAGCTCTGGTAGCATAGTGCCTAAGGCACTTGACTGCTAACCAGAAGTCTGGTGGTTCAAACCCATTGGCCACTCCTCGGAAGGAAGATAGGGCAATCTACTTCCGCAGTGATACCACCTTGGAAATCCAAGGAAGGGTCGCTATGAGTCAGGTCCGACTCAATGGCACATAACAACAACATCTTGAAAAGAAAGGAGATCTGTTGGTTTAGTGGTTAAGGCATTCAGCTGCTAACCAAAAGGTTCACCAGCTGCTCTATGGGAGAAAGACTAAGCAGTGTGCTTCTGTAACGATTTACAGTGCTGGAAACCCTATGGGGGCAGATCTACTCTGTCCTATAGGGCCACTATGAGTCAAATAATCTTGGACAGAGGAGTCCCTGGGTGAGACAAATGGTTTGTGCCTGACTGTTAACCTATAGTTTGGTGGTTCAAACCCAGTGGTGCCACAGAAGAAAGGCCACACAATCTACTTCTGTAAAGATTACAGCCAAGAAAACCCTATAGAGCAGTTCTACTCCATGATACGTGAGGTCAGTATGAGTCGGAATCCACTCAACAGCAATGGAGTTTTAATCTTGCAAAGAGAAGTCACTAGGAGGTACACATGGTTAAGGAACTCAGTTGATAAACAAAAGTTTGGAGTTTCAAATCATTCCAGCAGTACATCAGAAGAAAGGTCTGGCAATCTACTTCTGAGAAGTCTATCATTGAAAACCCAATGGTGCACAGTCTTATTTTGACTTACATGGGATAGCCATGTGTTGGAGGTGACTCCATGACAACTGGTTGTTATCTTGGGAAGGACACAGGCTTTGGGATCAGACCTGAACACACCCGCCAGGTCTACTAATTACTAGCTATGTAACCTTAGGCAAATTGCCTAAAGTTCCCAGCCTCAATTTTTCCACTTAAAAAATGAGACATAGAATACCAAATGCACAAGGTTATTTTGCGGACTGAAATAAATTAATGTATGCAAGGTGCCAAGACCCATGCTGGAAATGTCAGATATCCCTTATTAGTTGGGATGAATGAGCTTTTAGCACTATTTCAGGAGGAATTAGACCTGCTTTTATGGGAGTGAGCAGAAGGTATTACTGCATTAAATGACTATTTTACAATGTTGTTACCTGCATAGGGATTATACACATAAGTAAATTATCAAGGTGGGATTATACCCATGAGGTGGTGAGTAAAAAGACAGCAAACCTAATTATATTCTTTCAATGTGTCCCCACTTGCTGGTCCAGGGTAACAGCTGGCCCCTAAACAGCATGGCTTTGAAGACTCAGTTGGTCTTTCAGAAAAGTTCTCAAGAATGACATCTGTGCTCTGAAACCTGTTTAAAATGGAAATTAGCAGTACTTTCCACAAGACAACTGGGTGACAACATAATCAACTACCTGCCCTACGATCTCCCAATGAGATCTGTGAAGGCGCCTTTAATCTGATCACTCCAGGACATGCAAAGCCTCCAGCTCTAAAGATGCCTCTTCAAAGAGAGCTGAGCTACAAAATGCCAGTAATTCTCCTTTATTGGGAGATAAAAGGATTATTTCTACTCAGGCCAGGGCACTGAGCTTGAGTGAGAAGCAGTTAAATTCAGCCGTCACTGTGCATTAATAGCTGGGGAAGCTTTGAGGCAGCAGGTCCATTAGATTCAGGACTGGAAGCTCCATGCTGCCTTCTGCAGTTTTAGTTCAAAGGTGCATCCGGGAGGAGGACTCACGCTGGAAATTCAGTCTCCAAATAGCCAATTGCTGCCCCTCACCTTCTTAAGCTTCCATGTTCCACTCCCTACACAGTTGATGGGAATCCATGCTTCCAAAGGGCTGAGATTTGAGAGGAGTGATTGCTAAATTGGAATTTTAAGTGGAAATGGAATTTATTCTTTGTAGGGCACCCTTCTGTGGATGGATAATAAACACTGGTGATTTGTTTGGAAACAAGGAAGTCTATTGGCAATGTTTTAAAATAAATATTTTCAGCCAATAGTTTGCCAGGAAATGAAGGTGACTTCACGTACCTTTGGCTGATTAACAGCACCCCTCTTATCCCCTTGCCTCTATTAGCTAGACATGCCTGCATATGTCTAAACCTTTAATATGAAAACATTCTGAATTCTTTGCGCAAGAGATTTTTAGCTCCAAGCAAACAAGTAGTAACAGCTAGATGGGAGGAAGTATCACTTAATAGTATCAACTCATTAGTCTCCCTGGTGTAGCTCAGACTGAACCAGAAACCCTGATAGAGATAATATAATTGAGGCAAAGACAGGTTAACCATCCACCAAACCTGTTCCTCTCCCCACTGGGCACACAGGTACATTACATTTTCTAGCCTCCCTCTCAGCAGGACATGGCCATGTGACTAAGTTCTGGCTAAAGAAACATGGGAAGAATCAAGTATATGATTTCTCAGCCTGGCTCAGATAAACTACATGAGCAAGCCTTCACTTCCTCTCTCTCCCTGCCTCTACCTGCTGGATGTTGATGTTGAGGGAGATCTTAGCAGCCATCTGTTCAACCTCCCATCTGCTTGAGTTGTGAATGACTATGTGGAACACTGCCCATTGCCTTTGACCTGTACTACCAATTGAACTTTAATTGAGCAATAGAAAATCTTTTGTTAAAAGCCATTGAGATTTAGGGAGTTTATCTGTTACGGTTGCTAAACCATATCAAAACCAAACTCACTGCCCTCAAGTCAATTCTGACTCATAGTGACCCTATAGGACAGAGTAGAACTGCCCCATAGGGTTTCCAAGGCTGTAAATGTTAAGGGAAGCAGATGTCTTTCTCCCATGGAGGAGCAGCTGATGGGTTCAAGGCACCCATGTTTTGCTTTCAACACTGTGCCACCAGAACTCCTATACCTCTCACAGCTGCTAGAATTTCCTTAACCAAAGAAGACATTGATAGCTTATAGGCAATGCAGTTGTAATAAAAACCTAAAACATGTGGCTTAATGGTCAGATAGCAGGTGGCAGTAACCTGATATTGGAAGCTGGGACACTGGAGATTCTTCTGAGAAAAGTATCACATATGATGTCTGGGAAGGTACCTACTGAACCTCGAGCTCAGGAGATAAGGTTAGAAAACAGAAACCTAATAGAATGTATTAATTTTTACTAGCTGTGTTGATCAAAGTGATAGAAGAAAGAAAGCTCAGAGAAAAGTTGGTTGGCTTATGACAACAATGAAAGAGAGTCCCCAAACTCAGAGTCTTGTAGAGTTGCAAAAGCTGCATATTTTGGGAGGCCCAAGGCAAAATGAAAATATGGGGTTTCTTGTAAAATATTGTAAGATGGTGACATGAGAATATTAAATCAAATGTGCAGATTTTCTAAGCATTGGACCCTGTTCAACTGCACAGGTTGCATGCCAATGACGCTGGCCCTGGTCCCCAAACAAAAGGTACAACACTGAGAGGTTTTAAGTAGCCAAGACAGACTCGCTTACTGCCATCGAATCGAATAGACTCATAGCAACCTCTCCTTGGGTTTCTGAGGCAGTATCTCTACAGAAGTAGATTGCCCAACCTTCCTTCCGAGGTGTGGCTGGTGGGTTTGAACTGCCAGCCTTCTGGTTAGCAGTCAAATGTCTTAGGCATTACGCCATCAGAGCTCCCAAAGACACACTAGGACACATTAGTATTCCTTTAAATTGAGAGACAAATATGAAGTGATGAAAAAAGGAAACAAACCAGACCTAAAAATTATATTAAGAAATAATTTTATTTATTTATTT